GACTGTGTACAAATCTCCCTTTCTGTAGCTTTCACAAAGATTCTGAAGCAAACAACCGTGTATTTCTTCCATGCAGCAGGGTTTAAATAATTTTTGAATGATATTCTGTAGGTTTTTTTGTCATCTATATTAACTTACTGAATGTAATGTGCTATCTGTGTTGTCCCTCACCACGGGTATCGAAACCCGGTTTCTAGCGTTATAAGCTTTCAGACTTTCCGCTGAGCCACTAGCGGGGCATAATGCAAGTCAGTAGACAGTGTTTATGAGACACAGAACTAATTACAACACATGTTAATGTTACCACGAACATGTGGTAGTGGTAGACTCATTCGAATGTGACTGACGTGCCATGTTTAGTAATCACAATTAATGAAGCAACTTTGCTGCCATGAGTAGTCCAAAAGCGATACATTGAGAATATCAAGAGCACCTAGCACAAACACCGCTGTTTCAGTCTTGACTTCACATTCGAAGCTACCAACCAAACAAATAAATCGCAAACAGGCCAATTCAATGTATGCTCATGCTGTATGTCAATATATATGGACATTTCTCAGCTGAGCACGAGAAATGTTTCTTGATGATTAACTGCATAAGAAGCTGAGTCTTAACATCGTACCTGTCAACCCGCGTGCAACTGCTATCCCCAACATGCATGTAATCATATGATATTTGAACTTAATGGTTTATCTTTAATATTTAGGTAAAAAACAAAAAGAAAGGGGGGAGGGAATACCAAAAAAAATTAGGATAAAATAAACACGTGCCATTACTTCAGACAAACTGAATTAGGATAAAATAAACACGTACAATTACTTCAGACACACTAAATTATGATAAAATAAACACGTGCCATTACTTCAGACAAACTGAATTATGATAAAATAAACACGTGCCATTACTTCAGACAAACTGAATTAGGATAAAATAAACACGTACAATTACTTCAGACACATTGAATTAGGATAAAATAAACACGTACAATTACCTCAGACACATTGAATTAGGATAAAATAAACACGTACAATTACTTCAGACACACTGAATTAGGATAAAATAAACACGTACAATTACTTCAGACACACTGAATTAGGATAAAATAAAGACGTACAATTACTTCAGACACACTGAATTAGGATAAAATAAAGACGT